CTCAGAAAGATTTAAAATGTAGTGCCTCGTAGGCTCTGCCAGGGAGACAGAAGCGCCTCTGAAACCCCAAGGCTCGTCCTTCAGCATTCTGACCTGCAGCCAAAGTCAAGAGGAGCCTGTCTTAAGAGTTTTGTGGGTATGTCTTTTTCTCAAGGAATGAAAAAATATACAGGAAGCTCCCAAGATTTATAAGAAAATTGTACTAAGCCAGAACCGGTTTGGCTCAGTGGATAGAGTGTTGGCCTGCGGACTCAAGGGTCCCGGGTTTGATTCCGGTCAAGGGCATGTACCTTAGTTGCGGGCACATCCCCAGTGGGGGGCGTGCAGGAGGCAGCTGATCAATGTTTCTCTCTCATTGAGGTTTCTGGCTCTCTATCTTTCTCCCTTCCTCTATCTTTCTCCCTTCCTCTCTGTAAAAAAAAATCAATAAAATATATTATTAACAAAAATTGTACTCAAAATAAGTATCACCAGCTAAACAAAAGGGAGAACCATAAGAGGTCTCTAGATTCCTAACTCTCTATGAACACGAAGCAGACTTCTCAACTGCTGACACGAGCTATCTCTGATGGACCAAGAAGAGGAAAGCCTTTAACTTTCCAGCCAGCCCAGCTGAGCTGCCAGATAGATGAGCTGAAGAAACCTTCTTGAATGTTTCTCCCCAGCAACCTAAGAAGAACAAACCAGCTGAAGGTAGCCCAGTTGCACAATAATGACAAATAAATTATTGTGGGATTTCTTTTAAGTCATTGTTCTCAGGGATTTTTTTGTTTTGTTTTGTTTTGTTTGTCAGGTGGGTTTGTTTTTGTTTTTATTATTTAATGAAGGCAGAGCAGAAACAGGTTAAACATTCTGGCTCTTGTGTTGCATTGAGAAGAAGGTTGGGTGGAGGGTGAAATGTAACAACAGGGAGACCCACTCTTGCAATAATACCATGAGATATGATATCAATGGCTGGAATGAGGTCAGATGTGGGAAACAGTTGGGAGGCACAGGTAAATGGGTTAGTGGAAGATTAATGTGAGGTGTGAGAAAAAGAGACGTCAAGGACAAATCCAAGATTCACTGATTAACTGTCTCTGCACCTAAAAATATGGAATTGCCATCAACTGAGATCGGGCAGACAGTGAGAGGAGCAGTTTTGGGTTAAGTCAGGAATCCGCTGAGTACTAGATATCTAATCAGGGATGTTGAAAGACTGTTGGGTCTGGAGTTCAGAGAGAAGTCATGATTGGAGATATAAATATAGCAAGTATCTGTGTATGAAGACATTAAAAGCCAAGAGACTAAATGAGGTCACCAAGGGAATGAGTTTAGACAGAGAAAAGGCCTAAGCACTGGGACCTTGAACTCCTCTATTTAAAAGGGTAGGGAAACAAAGAACCAGTAAAGGAGACAGATAGGTGCTGGTGAGGTAAAAGGAAGTAAGAAGGTATTCCAAGCCAATCCAGAACTCTAGGGGTGTGCACAGGTGGGAGCCAAGAACTGACCACTGCATTTAGCATGGGGGTTCTCAGGACCTCAGACAAGTACATTTTTAGTGGAGCAGTGGGGACCACAACCTGGCTGGTTCAAGAGAGACTAAGAAGAGAGAAATTGGTGACAGAGAACTGAATTGACTTTGAAAATTTTTCATAAACTGGGGACAGAAAAACTAGGTGGTGGCTGGAGAGAAGCATGAGGGTTTTGTTTTGTTTTGTTTTGTTTTGTTTTGTTTTGTTTTGTTTGTTTTAATGGGAAAAAAATATAGCATGGCTATATAGTGATTGGAAAGACCCACCAGAGAGAGAAAAGTAGTGATGGTGGGAGAGAAAAGATGAATTATTAGAGCTATGCCCTTGAGCAGGTGATAGGAAGGAGACTACACACCTAAAAGACTGCCATGAGTTTATGGCTGGTTCCCTTACCTCTAATGTGTTTTTTCCTCAATAAATTTTACCCCAGACCAAATTTCCTAAAATACTGCTTTTATTATAATACTAGGGGCCCGGTGCACAAAGATTCGTACACTGGGGGTGGTGCCTCAGCCCGACCTGCACCCTCTCCAATCTGGGAGCCCTCAGGGGAGCCCTCTCAAATCCAGGAGTTTCTATCTTTGCAATCA